CTTCTGACAAAGTCGATGCCAGTAATTCCGATTGTGACCCCCGGTGATTCCTTGAGGAAGCTGATTACTGAATTTTGCAAGATGATGTGATCTTCCTTCGTTGATGGCTTCAAGCCAAAAATAATGAGGTTTTTTTCTCTTTTCTTAGTATCAGATGTCTTGGCCTGCTCAGCGACGAGCTGCTTTAGTTGTATATTCTCTTGCTTTAATTCTGCGATTTGAGTAGTATGATTATTTACGTCGCTTTGGACTGAGGCAAAATTGTTAGCCACTGCTTTATTGATCATCGGTTCAAGTAGTGCAGAGAGTTTGTTTACCGAAAGGTGCTCTATCTGTTTGTCGTTTTCATCCTTCATTGTCCTTACAGATGGCGCTGCTCGAATGTGGCGAGAAATTGGCGGGTTGGGGAGCCTTCGGGTATTTCGACGTGGAGTATAGATGGAGGTTATGGGAGGCGAGATCTTCGATTCACTCGAAATTACGGTGCAAGAATTTGAACACTCAGCAATCCACAGTCGGGATGAGGTAAAAAAATGTTTGCGACTCGCATGTAGGTCCTCTGGACAGCAACAGGTTCAATGAATAAATGTTTAACGAAAAATTGGACAGAGCACTCACAAAACACTTCTGATTGTATTGGTGTTCGGTGGCGCCCCCTCCCCCTCCATTATATTATATGGAACCCAAGGACTAGAATCTCGCCAGTACGCCTGTACTCTTCCATCACTCCTGTAAAACTGGAATTTGGGGAATTTTCCACTTCATTACTGATCTATTTTCAATATGAAAATACCGTAGTGGCACCAGTTTTCGACAGAAAGCGTCAGGCGGGCAGAGGAAACAGTATCAATCCAAGGGACTGAGTTACTTCAGGAGATCAACAAACCACCGACCCAACTCATCGAGGAACAGCAGTCACAACAACAACAAGAGGAGATATTGATTGATGTGAGTAAGCCAGCTGGGAGGTTAGCTGATTTTTATGAAAATTGGACAATGTTGACATCAGATAAGGTCATTTTAAATTGGATCCAGGGTTATGTGATTCCAGTTCCAATTGAGTTGACTCAGACATCTCTTCCAATTAGAAATGAATGTACCGTTCAGGATGATAAATAATTTAGAGAACAGATCCAAAAACTTTTAGTTAAAGGGGCAATTGTTCAGTGTGAACCAGAGCCATCCCAATTTATTTCCAACATTTTTCTTATTCCAAAACCAGACGGATCCAGATGGTTGATTCTCAACTTGAAACCCTTAAACAAATATATCACAATTGATCATTTTAAATTAGAGGGTATTCGTACAGCTAGAGATCTTTTATTCCCAGATTGTTTTATGTCAACAATTGACCTAAAAGATGCCTACTATTTAATCCCAATAGCAGAACAGTGTAGAAAACGATTTCAGTTTGATGAGACTCTTTTCGAGTTTACTTGTTTACCTTTTGGGTTGAACACAGCCCCTTACGTCTTCACAAAGATCCTCAAGCCTATAGGTTCGCATTTACGTGAACAGGGCGTGGTATTCGTTATATATTTAGACGATATACTAATTATTGCTGCATCACCTCAAAAATGTCAGAGCAGACTGATTTAGTTATTGAATTGTTAAAAAATCTAGGATTTATTATAAATTTTGAAAAAAGTTCATTAAAACCTGCCAAAAAAAGCAAGTTTTAGGTTTTATCCTCAATTCTATTGATATGACTATCGAGTTGCCAGAAGAAAAAAGATTAAGCGTATCAGCTCTAGTTAAAAAATTTAAAAAATTGAAGATCTGTAAAATTCGAGATTTTGCCTTGTTTATAGGTGTATTAAGTTCATGTTGCCCCGCCGTAAAATACGGTTGGGTCCACTCCAAGGATTTGGAACGAGAAAAAACAAATGCCCTTGAGAACAATCACATGAACTTTGAAACCTTCTTTAAAATATCTAGTCAGATTCCGGATGATTTATTGTGGTGGAGTTTGAACCTAAATTCTTCTGTCAACCCAATAATAATTCCTTCGTACAAATGAGAAATCTTCTCAGATGCCTCTTTAACTGGATGGGGTATTGCCTGTAATAATGACATATCCCATGGATTTTGGAGCATAGACGAAAAGGAATTTCATATCAATTACCTGGAATTATTAGCAGCGTTCTTTGGACTGGTGTTTCGCTCATGACCTTCGAAATTGCAACATCCTACTGAGAATTGATAATACCACTGCGATTGCTTACATAAACCGTATGGGTGGTAAATGTTTCGTAAACCTCAGCAAATTAGCAAAAGATATCTGGATGTGGTGTGAAAAACGTAACATCTGGCTGTTCGCATCTTACATTAGTTCCCAAGACAACTCAATTACAGATTCTGAATCAAGATAACTAGAACCAGAAACTGAATTCGAAGTTGCCAATTTTGCTTTTGACGAAATTTGTAAGAAATTAGGTAAACCTCAGATTGATCTATTTGCTAGTAGATTGAATGCAAAATGCACGAGGTATGTCTCTTGGCGAAGTGATCCAGAATTAGCGGCAGTTGATGCCTTCAGAATTCGCTGGTCATCTCAATTCTTCTATGCCTTCCCTCCTTTTCCCTTAATTTTAAAAGTCTTGAAAAAAGCAGCGGAGGAGAAAGCTCGAGGTATCTTAGTTGTCCCATTCTGGCCATCACAACCCTGGTTTCCACGGTGCATGCAGATGTTTGAAACAAAACCCATCATGTTCAAACCAAATCCTAATTTATTACTCTCTTGTAATAGGGAACCTCATCCATTGTGGCACCAACTTTCCCTGGTGGCAGGAATTTTATCACCCAGGCTTTCGAACTTCAATGAAGGACAAAAAGACGATTGAGATAGAGTTAGCATCGATAAACAATCATTCTCATAAACAATATGAGAGTGCCTACAAGAAATGGTGGTTTTTCTGCCACAACAAAGGATTTCCTCTTTTAGTTCCTACAGCATTCAATGTTTTACTATTCTTAACAGAAGAGTTTGTACTGGAAACTTCTTATGGCTCTATCGATTCCTACAGATCAGCCCTTGCCTTTATTTTAGGTCCTGAATTGGCACAACACCCTAGTATCAAAAGGTTTTGCAAAGGTGCTGCATCTATCAGACCTTCCCAACCTAAATATGACGTTACGTAGAACCCAAAGACTGTATTAGACTTCGTTAGGAACTGGTCCCCTAACAATGAAATTTCCTTGAAACAATTATCTTTAAAGGTAACGATCCTTTTAGCCCTTACTACGAGTCAACGTATGCAGACGTTGGCTGCAATAAACATAGAAGATATATCTCGTGTTAGTAATTGTATTGAGATCGAGAAACCAACAAGTCTAAAAACGTCAAATCTGAAAAAACCTCAACCAACTCTGACCCTACCAACTTATAAAAAAGATTCACGGATTTGTGTTGTATCTGCTTTGGATTCTTATCTGGAAATGACAAGAGACATCAGATCTGACGATAAATTATTACTTATTTATTATCAAAAACCTCATAAGCCTGTTGGCACTCAGAGATTAAGTCATTGGATAAAGAAGGTTTTGTCTGAAAGTGGCATTGACACATCAATTTTTACTGCTCATAGTACTCGTCACGCTTCGAGTTCAGCTGTCAAAAAAAACGGCGTAACCGTTGATTTAATATTAAAAACAGTAGGATGGTCAAAGGAAACAGACACTTTCCCAAAGTTTTATGATAAAGAGTTGGTTATAGATAAAAGTGTTTATGCTACCTCAATTATAGATTTATAAAAGAACTTTATAATTCAAGAAACATTTTTACATATTAATTACTATTGATATGATTTTGGTTGTACTGATTAACGTTTATTCGTTCTTCCATGTATCTTCTGTGCACAGTTGGTCAATAAACCATCTGCACACATTATAAAAAATTCTCTTCATCATTATGAGAATTAATACTCGTGCCGTAACAAAACTTTGAACATCTACCTGATGATCTTGAGGAAGAGGCGCGAAATACAATTATAAGATTAAACGAACTTATCTGTAAGTGAAGTTCTATCTTAATTGCATGAAGCGCCTCTTCCGAAAAGATCAGTCCCACCCGGTATTCCCAACAGACCCTCAGTCTGCTATTTTTCCCATCTTTTCTCATTGTTACGGCCTTTAAAAAATGATAAATGGCGGCCCAGCGGACCTCGAGCTGGTAATGGTGTCGCCGAGTAGCTAAAAAAGTTTAACTTGATGCTTTGAATCTTGTGGTGACATCTGCATGAAAGGGGGGTACTACCTGATGATCTTTTCGGAAGAGGCGCTTCATACAATTAAGATAGAACTTCACTTACAGGTAAGTTCGTTTAATCTTATAATATCTGATATTTCCTCGAGTAAAATGTAGGAGGCGCGAGAGTATAAACTAACGTTTGAAATCGTAAGAAAAAATTATAATTTAACGTAGTAAAAATTCATATGAGTTGAGTAATTTCTCGTCGCTCAATAGTAAAAATTGGTAAAAAAATAAAGCGGTTTTAACACTTTTGAAATTTGTTTTCATCCCTGCATTTTATACAGTTTTATCCGTTAAAAATTGCAATGTTAAATTGTAAAAAATAAATTTCACATCGCAAACGTTCAGTTGAAATAAATCAAATTTCAATGGTTTTCCGGTATGGTCCTCGACTACCATCTTCGCATAGTAATTTTTAATTTTCTTTGTGCATAAGGCTTAGTAAACAGATTAGTCGATCAAGTACTCCGGATAAATGTAATTTTAGAAATTTATTGCACTCTGTGGAATTTAAATAAATATCTTAATTCGTGCAGAAGTATAAGTGCATTTCGAGAGGAAAGAGTGGAAATGAACTTCAATGCCTTTGAATATTTATTCCTTCGAAATTATGCCGCACGGGTTCTCCAAATTTGGTTGCGTTCCCATTCAAAAACTCGGAAACGGGAAAACTTGCTACAGAAAATGTTCTGAAACATCTTGCAAGCATCAAGCCGAAGAGAAAATGTTACCAATAGAAGTGACCTACCGATTTCATCTTTGTTGAATGTCCATCCGCCCATGGGAACGCATTTTTCTCCCCATTCATCTTTGAGTTTCAGTTCTACAATTTGTTCATCTGTCAATCCCATCATATCAGGTGGTAACATTGTGCCATGTTTCGCGAGCTCTTCCATTTCTATTGAACATAAATAGAAAAGTGGTTTGATTTTTGTAGTGATGTGGTAGGATGCAGACGGTCAGTTAAAAACCATATCATAGATTATTGCGTGAAGAAAATTATAATCAAAAAAAGCTCTGTCTTCAACATCTACATTTCGATTTTTCTCGTCAATGATTAGGAGCGAGTCGGACAAAATTGGTTTTTCTGACGGTGTTGAAAATCATCCCTCAGTCGGGCTAAATGTCGAATTTTGCTCGCTCGGCAACCTTCGGGGATCGACGAACACGCACGAGGACGATCGTGCGTGTCGTATCTTTAGTACGCCATCGAACTTCATCGAGTGAAAGTGCCGGAAAATTATCGCATCTATTATCGAACATTATCACTGCAAATCATCTTTTTGTTAATTTGTATACAGTCCACTCGGAAATCATCTATTTATTAAACTCTGTGTTGTGTAATTTTCAGTGCATAATTATTTGTTTATTAAAGAAAACTCATCAAATTACCTCCGGCTAATCATCAACCCGTTAACCCGGACCTCACTTTTCCTCCCGACCACCCGGCTCATCAAATCGTGATTGATTTCTAACATTGGTCCTTCGAGCCGGATAGTGGAGTGTAAAAGTGCGGTGTTGAAAGTGGATAATCATCAAGGACAGGGACAAGAGACAGTATGGTGAAATGCAGTATCACGTGTGGAAAATCAACGCGTTTGTGAAATAGACGCTCTGTGTGCTACGAGGCAATTCGGGGTTCACAAGACAATTAACGTGGACAATCACCAGAAAAAATTCAGTGCTATTCATCCGGAATAAATTCCTCAGAGGATTAGTGCTGTGGCCTCATCGAAGTTTGTTCACATCGTACGCTGCGCGAATTGAAAATCATCGTTGGCACTCGGCGGATTTTGATACTCATCGGATTCCTTCATTCTCAATCCGTCCGACTTTCGGCAGTGAACCTCATCAGCGTGAGTCGAGGAGGCATCCCCACTCTCGCTACACTCGTATTACGTATATCGGCGTTCAACGTGCGGGTATCATCATCTCTCTCACGGAGTCTCAACGCATTCATCAAAATTCGG